CCCACCCCGCCGGCCGCCGGACAGCGTGACGCCGGCCGCGGCGAGCCTGGGAAGCCACTCGGAGAGGGTGTGGTTTTTAAAAAAGGGATTTGTGTGAATGTCATGTACCGTAGATATTCATATTAACACTAGACTGCAGTCTGCGTGCTTCCTGGCTTGTTTCTGTGCAGTTATGTAGTAGTAATATAAAATAGGTATTTCTTTAAAAGTCGTCATTCTGACAGGTTTTTTTTTTAACGTGGAAATTTAAATTTGCAATTTTGGAGATTCCTCCCTCCTTTTTGAAAATGAGGGCGTTGAGCTGGACTTTTTCTTCTGAGTGCAGCATCCTCACTCAGGGATTTAATTCATAATGAGTTGATTGTAAATGCCTTACATCATTACCTTTATTCAATAAACTTGAGAGTGAGTGGGCATTTCCACCTGCCCTCTGTCAAACTCGTTTTTTAAAACCTGCCCTGAAGACTCAACTGAGGTATTTGGTTAAATAGGCAGGATTCAGGGAGTTGCCAGTCGAAGGTATGCTTTCTCTGGGAGCCTCCAAAAGGTATAAGAGAGGAGCTGGATTCTCTGCTTGGGGACACACATTTGGTATAGAATATTTGAGAAGCGATGCGGTGGGTATTAAGGAAATGCCTAGTTTTAAGAAACAGTTTTTGCGCCTGCTAGTAATTTAGTGTAGATTTTGCTCCTGCAGGGGTTAGTGTAAGTGCTAATAAGCTGAGGATTCAGGGTGCTCCCCAAGGGCCAGTTGGCCTTCTGGAGAGAGAAGCTGCAGTTTGGAACCCTGGCTGCCTCTGCCTTTCCTTAATAACCAGGGGAGTGAGAGAATGTGGATTGTCTGTATCTCATTGACTCTAGAAAAACAACTGTCAGGTGTGTGGCCTGTTGATCTCAAGAAAAACCATCACCCGCCAATAATGGCAAGGTCTTCTTTATTTTGTGTCTGTTTCTTTTTAATTCTGAATTGCTTTTGAGTGAAAATTCATGGTGTTCACAAGAGTTTTAGAAAATCAATTTTACAAAAATCTTTAAAGTGTTTTCAATGTTGCAGTGCTTTACTTTTTACATGTTTATAGGTGAGAAAAACCCTTACTGTTATAGCAAGGAGAAAGAAAGAATATTCAGGAGTTAAATTTTCACAGCAATTTGAAGTCTCATACTCCTCCTGTTACTCATTTTCCTTTTCTTCTCTTTGGTCCACCTTTTCCATCCTGACCACAGTCCACCTTGATTCACTATTGTAAATTTTAGAGTTTTATTTACTCTAAAAAGCATTTTACTTTTTATATATTATATTATATTATATAAATACATAATACGTATTTGTGGTTGCTTTGCTGAACTTAGAAGTGCTTTGCTTTTTATCTTTAAGCAGTGAGAATTCATGGAAGGGATTTAATTGAGTAATTTAATTGATTAGCTGATGCCTGGGCTCCAGGGGAAGACGGGAGGGGTTGGTATAGCAGGGAGGGTGAGGAGGCTGCCTGTAAAATCCCCAGAACTGTATTCGAGATCGTAACATTACCCTTTGTTAAATGCTTGAATCTAAACGTAGGGCTTTAGCTTTTGATATTTATGACTTTGCACATGAATTTTGGAACTCTGTTTAGCTATTACTCAATGAACATTTCTTCAGTTAAGCCACTGGTTTCTGTTGCCTCTAGGTAATAATGACAGCTGACATTTATTGTGTACATTCTATGTGTGAGACATCTTTCTGAGACCTTATATGTCTTTTTTTTAACTTTTTTTTTTATTGAAGTATAGTCAGTTTTCAATGTTGTCAGTTTCTGGTGTACAACATAATACTTCAGTCATACATGAAGATACATATATATTTGTTTTCATATTCTTTTTTACCATAAGTTACTACAAGATATTGAATATAGTTCTCTGTGCTATACAGTATAAACTTGTTGTTTATTTTATATATATTAGTATCTGTAAATCTTGAACTCCCAGTTTATCCCTTCCCACTCCCTGCCCCCCCTGGTAACCATAAGTTTATTTTCTATGTCTGTGAATCTGTTTCTGTTTTGTAAATAAGTTCATTTGTCTTTTTTTTTTTTAGATTCCACATATGAGTGATATCATATGGTATTTTTCTTTGTCTTTTGACTTACTTCACTTAGAATGACGTTCTCCAGGTCCATCCATATTGCTGCAAATGGCATTATATTGTTATTTTTTTATGGCTGAGTTGTATTCCATTTATAAATATACCACAACTTCTTTATCCAGTCCTCTGTCGATGGACATTTAGGTTGTTTCCATGTCTTGGCTATTCTAAATAGAGCTGCTGTGAACATTGGGGTGCAGGTACCTTTTTGAATTAAGGTTCCCTCTGGATATATGCCCAGGAGTGGGATGGCTGGATCATATGGTAGTCTATTTTTAGTCTTAGGAGGTATCTCCATACTGTTTTCCATAATGGCTGCACCAAACTACATTCCCACCAACCATGTAGGAGGGTTCCCTTTTCTCCACAGCCTCTGCAGCATTTATTGTTTGTGGACTTGTGAATGATGGCCATTCTGACTGGTGTGAGGTGACACCTCATTGTAGTTTTGATGTGCATTTCTCTGATAATTAGCAATATTGAGCATTTTTTCATGTGCCTATTGATTATTTGTTATGTCTTCATTGCAGAATTGTTTGCTTAGGTAAGAGCTTATGTGTCTTAACCATCACAACCACGTAATGAGGAGTTGTCTTGGAGCCTGCTGTGTAAACACTGAATTATACTGTAATGGATAATGCATCATTATATGTTCCCTAGATATGCCACTTATATGTTAGGTAATGAATTTTGTTTCTTATTTTAACTTTAATGTTTTGAGCAGTTATGAGTACTTGTGTTTTATTGTACCGGGCACTGGGCTGGATGCTCCTGAACAGAGTAGGCACCCCTAGACTTCTCTGCTCATCCTCTTCCCCTCTCCTCGTTTTTAAAAAAATTTTTATGTATTATTTTATTTTATTTAAAATTTATTTTTTATTTTAAGGGGGAGGTAATTTAAAATTTTTTTAATGAAGGTACTGAGGATTGAACCCAGGACCTTGTGCATGCTAATTACGTGCTCTACCACTGAGCTATACCCCCACACCTCTTTCATTCAGATGGAATGAAGAGGAATTAATGAGGACAGATTATAGGATTAGGGTTCATACTCATGGCTGAAGTAGCATTTGAAGTTTCTCCTGTCATTTCAACTTCTGTTCAGGAACTGGCACCTGCTCTTTGTGAATCACAAAGACCAGCTTTTTACATAAAGTCATTTAGACTTGGCGGATGAAACTGTTTAACAATTTATTCTCCAGGATTTTTTTCCTCATAGTATTTTTTACATATATTTTAGTTGTATATTCTAAAATTGTTACAAAAAGACTACCAAATAACTGTTTAAACTTTTAATTTATATGGATCAGAATCCACATTGGAATACCTGTTGTTATCAAGTTTTTGTTTTTGCCTAACACTTTAGCTCCTACACCAGATTTAGCTTTTGGAAATATAAAATAACATTGTATCATACAGTTTTCCCATTTTAATTCATTTTACTTGGGCTTTTCCCCTATTTTGGCCCTTTTTTCGGTCTTTGTTTGTGGTTAGGGCTTCTCAGGTATTGGGGAGCACAGTAAAATATATCTAAGGATTACCAGACAGTTTTGGTTTCTTTGCCACCACATGGTAGCGTTAAGAGAGCTTATGTAATGAGGGCTGTGTTAATAGATCATGACAAGAAGTTTCTCAGTATATTAATTTTCCTACTCTTGACAATACTGGTCTCCCTTTTGGCTGCACTAGGATTGGGATAGGGCAGAATTTTTAGCAATCGTAGCACTAACTCTTTCGTAGAGCCTGACCACTGTGCCCAGTTTTAGGCTCATCACTTCACATTTATCTCATTTAATCCTGCTAACATGCGTATGAGATTGACATTATCATACCCACTCAGCAGGCCCAGTCTGATTAGGCAGTTTGCCCAAGGTCACAGAGTTGGTGAGCGGCCGAGACAGAATCTGAACTCAGCTAGTCTGTCTCCAAAGTGTGCTATCTTAACCATCACGCCATGGCTTCTTTCCAAATTGAAGGTTGTGCTCGGTGCCTGGCATCAATATAACGACACCAAGATTAAGACTCAATATCTTGTCACTTGAACCAGCAAGCTCTTTTTATTTTATGAAGGACTCTGTTACGATGTTGCCTAATGACTTCCTGCAGGATTCACTTGGCCTTTTTTCTTTTTTCTTTTTTTAAACAGTGCAGACAACCAAAACTCAGATGCAGACAGTCATGGGTTAGCCTACACTTTCACCTCTGCCTTCCCTGTCTCCCTTTGTGTCTTCCCTCTCCCCTGTGTAGTGTCAGCTGCAGCCACTGCCACTTCCAGCCCTGGGGTGGCTACGGGGAGCTGGGCTTGAGCAGAGGGGTCGAGGGAAGCAGAACAGGGCAGTCATTGGGAAAGTTTTTGTGGAGTCAGAGTCACAGTCCAAATCCAGCTTTTCCACTTCTCAGTGCTGCCCC